GTGTTTCATCTCCTGCTTCAATTCTTTGAAGAAATTCTTCAGGATCTTCATCTCACTTGTTTAAAATCTCCATTGAAAGCTCTGCTCTTGTCTGCAGCTGATGTGGGCACAATGGTTCTGGCACCCATCAAGTGGGAAGTTTGCTCAACTTCAATTGTTCAGTTGGAATTGTGTGAGCTGAACCAACTGCGGTGTCTGTGGTGCTGGCTAATGTTTGTGCTGTTAGTTCTCAGTTCTCTTCAGGGGATAGACAAGGTGAATTTTTTCTTCACAAATTGATGTGGATGGCTACTTTGTCAGCATCATCCATCCCATCCCTTCATAAAATGAGCTATCCATTTCTAAACTAATGATTTTTGGGGGCATTGTCCCCATGAACTTCTTGTAAAGCATTGATGATTTCACCATTCTTCTGCCCAAGCTTCACTATAAATTTGATATTTGTTCTTCAATTTTAGCAGAATTCATGTTGTTCTGATAGGGTCTCTTTTCAAACTAATGCTTTATCCTTCTTAGTGCCTCAAAGTAGATCCTGTTTAAACATGTTATAATAAGTTAGTAAGAGTTATTTTCTGTGAAAAAATTTCAAAAACCATGCATAGTTTTTCATAATATGCATTTTCCATGAACTTTTTGGAAAAAAGGTGAAATTATTTTCTTCTGTGTGGCTTCAAAACATAGCCTATTGGCCAGGCGCGTTGGCTCATGCCTGTAATCCTAGCATTTTGGGAGACAGAGGCGGGAGGATCGCTCGAGGTCAGGAGTTCGAGACCAGCCTGAGTAAGAGCGAGACCCAGTCTCTACTAAAAATAGAAAGAAATTAGCCGGACAACTAAAAGTATATAGGAAAAATTAGCAGGTCATGGTGGCACATGCCTGTAGTCCCAGCTACTTGGGAGGCTGAGGCAGAAGGATTGCTTGAACCCAGGAGTTTGAGGTTGCTGTGAGCTAGGCCGATGCCACGGCACTCTAGCCCGGGCAACAGAGTGAGACTCTGTCTCCAGAAAAAAAAAAAAATATAGTCTGTTGGCTAGAAGCATGGAAGGAAATGTTCCTAAGTTGTGTAACCTAGTTACCTTTTCTAAGAGTTGGTTCATATGAGAAAAACATTTCTCAAAGAATTACAATGATTTCTTTACGTAAAAGTGCATTTTCTGTAACTAACTGGTATGTGTCCTGACAAACTTCAAACAAAGCCCTTGATTATAATGTATGTTGTTCCTCTGTTACTTTTAGTCCTGATTGTACAAAAAATACACAAATGGAGGCTATTACTTTAGCTCAGTAGTTATTCATAAACCAGGCCTTTGCCATTGCAGATTTTGAGTTATAGGAAGGACTAAGCACCATAGCCGTATGAGAAACCCATTGTAGAACCTGAACTTAAATCGGTATGTGTATAGTTAGAAAACCAAACCAAGAGTTGGGAAAGCCCGTGTGGACCTTGCTGTGTTGCCCTGGGCCTGTGGTCCTTGTTGCTTTTGTGCTCATGCTGACCTCTGTTTTGGCAGTGATGCTTAGAGAATGTGTCTGTTGCATATGGTACAGGACAGCACATGAGTATAGACTTCCCTTTCCATCAAATAAGTACTATACAGTACTCTGACTTCTGAAGGTCGTGAAGACTTTGTCATTTGGACACATAATAACCGTGACATTTCCCTTAACTGACGGGATTTATCACTGAGTTGTTCTCTGACTCTGCAAAAGAAAGTACAGCAGGTAGTCCAGCATGGTGTCAGCTTGCCTTTCCTCAAGGAAGAGTAATGCCCCTGAGTTCCTTTTGCTTTATTTGGGTGTGAGCCATGCCACCATACAGCCTTTAGACCTGAGACATCAGCAAGTCTGAACTTGACCCTGGGTGGGTATCAGATACCCTCAAGGCCAGGCTGAGTTGCTGTCGCTGACATTCAGGACTCACGTTTGAGAGTAGGACCCTCCTGTGTCCAGTGATACACACTGATAACTCCTGTCTCCAAAATTTAGCCACATTCACTGAAATCTCAAAACAAAATGAGCTTTGTACTTCTTGTTCAGAAATTATACCCTTGCTTTTAAAAGCCGTTTTTGTCTTCTCATGATCCTTTTTGAACAGAAGGTAGAATTTTCAAGTAATTTTAAGAAAATTTAAGCATGAAGACAATAATTATTGGATTATCACATTTTAATATGCCTGTAGAATGCAGTAGAGAATATAATTAATTATTGTTTCTCTTAACATTTTCCTGCAAATTTTTCCTGAAAGAACACAAGTGGAAATATTCTTTTAAGTGAATGGTGGTTATCTATTAACTCCAGATTTTCTTTCTTTTTCTCCATTTCTCACCTTTCATTTCATTATATTACCCTGCATTTCCCTTTTCTTTTATTTTTGTTTACATTAAAATGCCACTTCCCTTTTTTAATTACTTTTTACCCAGACACTTCTGAAGTTGATTTATTTGTTATTAATGCTCCATACACTCCAGTGCCAGATCCCACTCCCATGATGCCACCAGTGGGAGTTCAGGCTTCCATTCTGAGTCATGACACCATACGGATTACGTGGGCGGACAACTCCCTGCCCAAACACCAGAAGATTACAGACTCGCGATACTACACAGTTCGGTGGAAAACCAACATCCCAGCAAACACGAAATACAAGGTACTGACATATTTGCTCTGGGTGAAAAAAGCTAATCATTGATATTTTCTGATTTTAAAATTCTCAATTCATATTTTTTCAGAATGCAAATGCAACAACTTTGAGTTATTTGGTGACTGGTTTAAAACCGAATACACTCTATGAATTCTCTGTGATGGTGACCAAAGGTCGAAGATCAAGCACCTGGAGTATGACAGCCCATGGGACCACCTTCGAATTAGGTATGTGTTGTCAAAACCTGTGTCACGTGGCATTTCTTTTCTTCACAAGATATGAAAGCCAGTGGAAGCCCTTGCTTATGTCATGCCTCATTCCAAGTCATGGGACTTGCTTTTACTACCCAGTGAAAGAACTGAGTACATTAATTGACACATTTATATAGAACACAGTGAGCAACTACATTTATTGTTCAGTGTTTGCTGTTTGTACTGATGAATTATGTTCTTTTCGTCACTGAACAAGAATATTAGCAAATAGGATACTATAAGGCAAAGCATACTAGATTTCAGGAATCAAGAGACAGACTTGAGTTTAAGCCCAGGTCAACCATGTACTGACTATGTCATCATGAGCAAGTCATCCAGTCTTTCTTGGCTTCTTCCCATCTATAAAAGAGGTGTAATAACCCCTGCCTTTCCTACTTTATAGGGTTATGTAAGGGTAAAATGAGGAACAGATGAGAAAGACATGATATATTATAAAGCACTGGGTAGACGTAAGGGATCATTGCCGTTGATCCTGCTTACTGGTAAATTGAGATAGAAAAGATGAATCCACCTGCCCTCGACCAAGCAGTTGCCAATGCCATGTTTGCTGGAGCCTGAACCCTTCGCTGGGTGACCCCAAAGCTATCTCTGCAGCTTTCTTGCAAACCAATTAGTATCTTATAAACATCTTCCACTGAAATATCCTTAGGGTCTTTGTAAGTGGACGTGAGAGAGACGATAACTAAGCAGGTAAAGAGAGCGGGCTGTCCGGGTTTGAGATTCTACTTGACTTTTTGCTCACCTTTAGGCCCACCCTTCTACTACCTTTGGGCTTTCCTAGTGTGGAGACATGTGTAACCCTTAGGAATCTCTGTCTGTTTTGGCCTCCTTTCTTTCCTATGTATGAATAATGAAAAAATGGAGTTATAAATCCTCCACAGACTGGACTTGGTCCTAATGTCTCCTTGTCTTCCGCACAGTTGGTTGGCCTTCCTACAGAGAAAAGAGCTGAATTTGGAGAGTTAGAAATGTAGTACAGAAGTTTAAATAGACCTTGAGTTTGCTTTCTTTGCCAACCGTTTTAAGACTGTTTTTACTTTAATTCCAACCCATTAGCTAACAAATGAGATTGTGTTTTCCCTTAGGATGTTTGCATTTCTCCAGACTTCCTTCCATTTCATACGAGAATTCTAGTATTTTAGGAAGAGAAGAGTAAATTTTAGGATATATTTAATTTGCTCATTTCCCTACTAGTACATTAAAACTTTTCAGCTATAACATGGAAACACAAGAAATTAACTGTCATTGCTATATTAACAGCTTAACTTTAGAGCAATAACCTCAACAGTTGGCCATATGTTTTTAGTGTAAACTTAAAACGAAAATATCAATTTTTGGCCAGGCACAGTGGCTCACACCTGTAATCCTAGCACTTTGGGAGGCTGAGGTGGGAGGATTGCTTGAAGCCAGGAGTTCAAGACCAGCCTGAGCAACATAGCAAGAGCCCATCTCTACAAAAAATTTTAAAAAATTAGCTGGGTGTGGTGGTGCACACCTATAGTTCCAGCTACTTGGGAAGCTGATGCAGGAGGATCATTTGAGCCCAGGGCTTTAGGTTGCAGTGAACTATGATGGCACCATTGCCTCTAGCCTAGGCAACAGAGTGAGACCCTGTCTCAATAAAAAGAAGAAGAAAAAGAAAGAAAGGAAAATATCAATTTGTAAATCATGTATTCTTTAAGGAAACAGGGCTTTTAAAAGTCATATTTGGTTGGAGAGCCAGCTATAAGTGAGAGAATACTATTTTACTCTTTAAAATATTGTAACAAAATAATTCAAATTGAGGGGGAGGAAGTCATCTTGGGCAAATTATATAACTTCTCTCATTTTTGGTGTCCTGATCTATAAAGGAGGGATAATGACAATGACCTTTCAAGGTTGTGATAAATATTAAGTGAGATACAATTTGTACATTACCTAGTAAGGTACTTGATACAAATGTCATTTGGTTTCCCTACCTTATTATCCTATCCCTGACTCCCAGCCAAGATGCCAATTCTATATCCTCATAGTATGGTATTTTCTCTTTGGCATTTTGCATAGTCTTCTTTTTATTGGACCTATTTATAGATAGACTATGAGGTCTTTGAAGCCAGGAGGCTTTATCTTTTTTTTGTATGCAGGGGTACCCAACCTACGGTGAGTTGTGTAATTATTTCATTATATATTACAATGTAATAATAGTAGAAATAAAATGCGCAATAAATGTAATGCACTTGGATCATGCCGAAGCCATCCCGCCCCCACCTCCCATCTGTGGAAAAATTGTCTTCCATGAAAACTGTCCCTGGTGCCAAAAGGTTGGGGACCACTGCTTTATTGTGCCTTACAAGTGGAAAGGGTTGAGGAAGTGGTGAATTAAATTGAAATGGACAGAAATGACTGAAAGTATTGTTATTTTGTAGTTCCTACTTCTCCACCCAAGGATGTGACAGTGGTGAGTAAAGAGGGAAAGCCTAGGACCATAATTGTGAATTGGCAGCCTCCCTCTGAGGCGAATGGCAAAATCACAGGTAAGGTGCCTCCGAGCGTGCACTCGCCGTGCCTCGTTCCCGCCTGGCAGCGGCGTTCACGTGGGTTCCTATGCTGCTGGCAGAAGTGGGAGTCTGAGGCTGGCTTGATCGTCTTACGGGGTGGTGTGAGTCATGATGGTCCTTGAAGTTGGAGCGAGGGTGTGCTGTTTGCCCGTAGTGGCATAAAAATGGGTCACTGGTTGGTTGTTCTGACTGCAAGTCTGATGAGGAGGGGATGTGCTAGACAGCCGTTGGCTATCGTGGGACTTTATGGACATGTTTATTTTCCTCAGGAAAGCTGTTCTTCTTTAACTCTGCCTAGATAACTGGCTTTGGAGTTATATACCCTGTGCCTAATTCCACAGGTTAATACCCAATATAGATTCTATTCTTTTACCCTACAGCCCCGAAAAAAGCCCATTAGGCATTTAATTCCTTTTTCCCCCCAGACCTGCTACTTCAGTGCTCTTACAATTAGACTTAAAAGTTTGAATTGGCCTTAGGCCTTTGAAGGGACCTGGAATTTTTTCCTTGGACTTACAGAGGCGAACCTTCCACAGCAGGCCTTACTCAGCTTTATCACGGAGGGAACCCTGATAAAATGTAGGTGTGAAGTATTCCCTTTGAAGCCTCTGCTCCATGTAGGTGTGTGCTGAGAAACCAGAGTTTGCTTCCTGAGGTTCCTTTGTATGAATAAGGTGGCCTAAGGAAAAGTGTTTCTTAGCGCCGTCCTGTTTCTAGCTTTCCATAGGAATCCCTTCCCATAAATCCTGGCCTTTATGTCATTTTTTAGATTTTGACTTTGCCCCTTCTATAAAAGAATGAAGCGTGAACTTGACCTGGGTTACATTTTAGTTTGTCTTTTAAAACCAGTAACAACGCAGCCTGCGTTTTTACTGCAGGTCAGGTAGGCTTGTGGTTGTGACACTTCCTGCCTCAACATGGTGATTGAGTGCCCCCTGGTGGAAGTATCAGGTGACAGTTCCCTGTGGCTCTGCCCATCTACCAGTTTTTCTCCTAGGAGATCACATTCATGAGAGCTACAACAGCATGTCAGACCATGATTGGTTTTCAAAACTGTTATTTTAACTGTAGAACCTTGAAGGTACATTATTCAAATATTATACTGTAATATGCATAGGACGTGGTATGCATTTATTGACTTACTGTTTGCAAAAGGAAAAGCAGGAATGAGATTTCTCTTCCCATTAACTCCCCTGGACAGGTTACATCATATATTACAGTACGGATGTGAACGCGGAGATACACGACTGGGTTATTGAGCCTGTCGTGGGAAATAGGCTGACTCACCAGATCCAAGAGCTAACGCTTGATACACCGTACTACTTCAAAATCCAAGCCCGGAACTCAAAGGGCATGGGGCCCATGTCTGAGGCTGTCCAGTTCAGAACACCTAAAGGTAACGCTCCCCAAGCCGAGGGTTTTATTTCGCGTCTCTTTAGTGGGGCTGTGCTTACACGTGTCGCTTGAGCGTATGTCGTACATGAGAAGGGTAGTGTACGAAGTCTGAGTGACGAGCTTGTGAGCCACAGCATGAAGAAATCAGTGCTTCCTAGGTAACTGGCCTAACCCTCTCACACACAAGAGAGCTCTTGTGCCAGGACGTTCGGGGCAGATGAATTGCAGTGATCTAAAAGTTTTTACCAGTTAGATCAGATGTGATTCTTTTGGTTCCCATAGAGAAGTAGTGTGTTATCGCGATGGATGGTTCTCTTTCAGCGCATGCAGGCTCTGACCTGAAAGGCTTCCTCGTGGACCTTTGTAGAGAGAAAGACTGAAAGGGGCCTTTTAAACAAAACTCTAGATAAGGAAATGAAGATAAAGCATTGAACCAAGTGAGCTTAGGCTAATAAAATTTAGTTGGGAACTGAGTCTAAGGAAATACACAAACCCTGCATGAATTTATTTTCTGTTAGTACTAAAAACAAGACTCAATTTGTTTGGAAGTTTGTGGGGGTTTTTTTTTTTTTTTTTTTTCCTTTGAAAGTTCTGCCTGTCCGGTCTTCAAAGCTTGTGATCCTTGCTCTTGTTTTTTCTTCCCCTGTGCTTGGCCTGTTAGCGGACTCCTCTGATAAAATGCCTAATGATCAAGGTAAATAAGTAGATGGCCTCTCTTTCCTGTCCTCTCCTTTGTGACCTATTATTAGCTTTTGGTTTTGTTTTCATTTGTTTGGGGGTTTCTTTGTTTTTTTGGGTTTTTTTCTGAAAATTAGTACCATGTGTAAAAAGCCACATACTTACTGGCCAAAGTGGAGTTGAGTCCATGTTTGTAGCACTTGGGGTATCTGAAAAGTTGGGGAATTTACTAAGGAGCTAAATAGACTGGCAGAAGAAAACTGACTGGGTCCTGTAGCTGTAGGAGACCGGCCTTAAGTGTGGGTCAGATTCTCCTTTGTGCTAAGGATGCTGAAGTTCTGTAACTACAGTAGGCATTTGAGTCATGATGAGACTAAGCCTACCAATTTTCCATATTTATAGCATCTAGCATTTTGTTAGTGTCTCCAAATGAAATGCTGTGATCGAATTCAGTTAATATCCTTTTTTCATCTTCCAACAAAGAACCTACAGATTTACCCTACTAAATTGTGTGATTATCTGTGACCAAATTAGTGCTTTGTTTATGCCGTTGAAATAAGCTTAATTCAGAACTATTTTTCCATCATCCCTTAAATATATCTGATCATTTTTAAAGAGGATAGAAACTATTTAAAATGGAAACTTAGGAAGCACGGGCCTCGATATCACCGTTCTTGAATCATCTGTCAGCAGTCTTTTCACTGTGAGTGCCATGGTGGAGGGGTAGCTATACTTTGTGATTTTCATTTCTGGGAAGTCAGCTAAAACTGGTATCTGTTTTCCATACTGAAAAAGAACACTAAAAGTAAATGTAATGATTGTTCTTGTGGTTTAAGAGTAGTTATTAGCAATACAAAGTCTTTAGATCTTGGGTAAATGCAAGGAAGAGTCAGAACTTGAGGTATCAAGTTTTTCAAAACACTTTGGAAATGTGTTTGCATTCAATGTTGTACATTAGAGAAACTGCAAACATACTTTCTAGTGTGTGTGGAAGCGTGAGAATATAAAAATACCCGTAATGTATATGCACAAGATATACATGTGCTCACTGTTTTCACACTTTATTCAATAGCCGGAGTATAATTCCTAGCTGCACCATATGTCTAGTATATAAAATTCTTTACCCATTAGTATTTTTGATGCTAGATTCATTCTTGAAATTTCTTATTCATAGTTTAAATTTACAAGAAAAATACTGGGAAATATAGGAATAAAAACCAACCAGTTAATTGGCAAAGTGTGTTCTTTGGCAATTATTTACACACTATGATGCTCTGCATAGCTTGGCTTAAGTGGAGCTGCGTGGTAACTGAGGGCACCTGTGGAAAGCCGCACACTGCTAAGCCGTCTCCAGCAGCTAGGCTTTGTCACAGCGAAAAGCATATGAAAGCCAGCAGGAGCCTCGGCGTGCGTGTGACGGGGGTAAAGTAGTAAGTTGGACTATGGCTGAGGGACAGGGTCTATGAGTAAATTCTAGAATATGCTCTTTTGGATACCTAAGAATTTTTGTTACTCTCTTTGGGAGATTTTCAGCTTCTGGAAACAGCAAACATTGTTTTAGTCTCTAGTTTTATTCTATTCAATGAACTACATACAGAAAACTTCAGATGTTATTTTCTTTCATTTCCTCAAAGTCTGATAATTTATAGAAGCACTTGACGTTAGCCCCAGTGTTTTGCAGAGAAACATCTAGTTTATGCATTTCTAGTTAAGTTTTATGTGTAGAAATAACTCTCATTTATAAGTGTTTTCTGAAGCTTCACGCTCTCTGCCTTTGTAAAGGGGAAGACTGTATTCTTCCCTGAAGATTTAGTATGCTTGTAATAGTAGTAGTTAATATTTATTGAATATTTACTGTGCATCAGACAGTAATCAAAATATTTTATGTTATTAAATTTCCATTTAATCCTCACAACAGCTTTGTGCAGTAGATACCATTATTATCCCTGTCTTACAATGAGAAAACAGGCCCAAAAAGAATAGTTAAGTAATTTGACCAAAGTCAAACAGGTATATATGATGGAACCAGTACTCAAATGTAGATAGTCTGTTAAGCACCATGTTACATTAACTATACAGAACAGCTTTTCCTTTACTATTCTTTCAAACCTTTTTTCAGGAGAAGTATAATACTGCCTTCTGGGTACAAGCCTTGCATTGCTACCTTTGCTTTATTGGGAAGGGCTCCTTGTATTTGCTTTACCCAAGCAACTTCTCCTATAAATGTGAAGAGCAAAGTTCAAGACCAAGAATATGAACTTTTAAAACACAGATATTTGAGCTTTCTGACGCCCGCCTCTGGAGCGGCCCCAAGCCTGAAGTCAGCAGCCTCACTTAGTATGTTCCATGATGACGGATTAGGAGACAGTGTCCTTTGTGAGCAAAGAGAGGGAAGACTGGTTTTTCTGTCTTTGGATGTGTAGGTGATTGAGCAGAAACTGAGAACTCAATTTGAACTTCTGTTTTTCTTCCTGCTCCCACTAAGGGTAACTTTATATTTGTAAGGGCAACTTTATAATTTAAGAATCCAAGCAACATTTATACCTGCTAGGCCACATTAACATAGTGGGGTCCCTTGGAAGAGTACAGTTTTTTAATGTCAACATTGACCTAATTAGTCCTCTTGGTTTCTTTTCCATAAGTCCTCTGAGCAGTCCTTCGGGAGCTGTTTCCTAGGCTAAAGAAATGGGTGTGTTCCCACCTTCTGAACAGCAGAGTGACAGTCTGGTCACAGCCATGGAATAGGGGTGTCAGCCTTTCAGATGCCTCATTGCACAAAAAGCTATGCCTTAGTTCACTTTGCTCGCATAGACTATAGTTTCCCGTGATTTATGTGCTACTTCATTTCTCATGGATAGAATAGATTAAAAATATTTTTTTGTAGAAAACACTCACTAGCTGTGGACTATCACACCAGTGTGCTGGGTCATCACTGACATGATTTCTTCTCCTTCAGCCTCGGGATCTGCAGGAAAAGGAAGCCGGCTGCCAGACCTAGGATCTGACTACAAACCTCCAATGAGTGGTAAAGCCCTTTCTATGGCATTTTTGGCCTACTGTGGACATGAAGCAGTTTACCTTAAAATCTTGAAATGTCTTTTGTAACTTGTATGTGGTGGGTTGTAGTATGTTAACCTATTTCCTTTTATTTAATAGATCTAGTGTTAGGTGTTTTCTGGCAAATGTTTGCTAAATTACTATAAGCTTGTTCATTATAAGATCCATAAATAAAATTGTTTCCCCACATATCCAACTTAAGATTAATTCCTAAACAAATGATTCTTCCTGTTGCGTACTGCCTCTAGAAAAGAATTAGAATTTCACTTTCAGAAGGCCAGGCACAGTAGCTCACACCTATAATCACAGCATTTTGGGAGGCCGAGGCAGGAAGATCACTTGAGGCCAAGAGTTCAAGACCAGCCTGGGCAATACCAAGACCCTATCTCTACAAAAAATAGAAAAATTAGTTGGGCGTGGTGTTGTGCGCCTGCAGTCCCAGCTACTCGGGTGGCGGAGGCAGGAGGATTGCTTGAGCCCACAAATTTGAGGTTGCAGTGAGCTATGATGACGCCACTGCACTCTAGCCTGGGTAAGAAAGGAAGACCCTTTCTCAGAAAAAGAATAAAAAAAGAATTTTGCTTCCAAAACCTTCTAGTGGGATTAGCCATCACCCAGAACAAGCCAAAGAACTGCTTCAGAATCATTAAATTCTCTTTACTACTACTACTTGCTGCAGTGCTTTTTAGTTTAGGAATTCTAGAAAATTCTTCTGCTCTCCTCCAACCCAAGAGCTGGTACTGTCTAATTTAATGATGATACCTCCCTCTGTACAGAACTTCGCCATATGTAATTACTTTCACACATGAAATCACATTTGATTCTCATAACCCTGTGAAGCAGGGAGGATAGAGACCATTATTCCCATTCACTATTACACATTAAGAAACCGAGTGGGAAAATAATATGCCTGGGACCACCCAATAATTGCAACAGTCGTAGGACCAAGACCAGGGCTTTTGACTTATGACTGTGCTTTTTCCACTGTCACATGGAGCCTAAAAACCAGGAGGTCATATACCAGATGTGGGAATTCATAGTGGCAAAATGCTCACAAAAGTAGTTCCTAGAAATGACCTTTACTGTCTCCATATATGGAAGGGAAAGTCCTTTCCTCTAGTAACTCATAGTCTAATTGTGGGAATGAAATGATCTGTTAATCTCTAGCTGTCTATTTAAATAAAAAATGGTACCGTTCAGACTTCAGTGAAATCAGCCCATTCTTAGAAGAACCAGACAAACTTGCAAACTTCAGGAAATTTTTTTTTTTTTTTTTTTTTTTT